AAAAAAAAAAAAAAATCGATGAGGCCTTTGTGGCTGCATCTGGAGTGGCTAAGAAGGTCTGGCTCTCCCTGGATAGGCCCGAGGGGGTCTGGAGGGAGCTCTGAGGGTTTTCCCTTCAAAATTAGGACCTGCAGCTGAGAATGGTGCTGCACACAGAAGTAGCAGACACACCTCTTGGTTTGAATAAAAAGATTCAATCCAGACTGCCTCTTCCTGATCAGACCGTCCTCTCCAAGAAAGCTGCTTCCTTTCCCAGCAGTTATGAGGTGAAATGAGCTGATGGACAAGACAGCACCCTGTAAGCCATAAAATGCAATACAGGCGGCGGTTAAGGATCCCATAGCTGGATCCCATATGACCGACTACATGATTCAAGTCCCGGCAGCTTGAAAAACAAGCTGGGCATTGTATGTGTGCATGTGCTCAGAATCCCAAGAGGAGAACGAAGAAGGGACTGTGGCGTGCCATCCCCTCTGAGGGCACCTTCTCACTTTCCTGCTCTCTCTCTCTCTATCTCTCCGGTGAGTACACGTCTTATGGCAAAATAAAGAAAAAAAGCAATACAGGCAAAGATCTAAGATAAAGCCTGCTTTTCCTTCCCTCCTGCCACCTTTCATACACATGCTCCCTACCTGCCATCCTTTCTCACACGGGCTCTCTCCAACTCAGCAAAACCTGACTGCTATAGATCATGGTTTGCAAACTCAAATTAACTGCAGGAGCCCAGCAGCCACACAAATGAGTGGAAAACACCAGATAGAGAAGGCCTCCTTTGATGGAGACATGGTTTGAGAAGTATCAATACTACACTTTCTTTTCTGCTCTTTTTTTTTTTTTTTAATTTTTTCAAGAGATTTTTACTATAGGATGCATGCACTCACCAGAGAGAAAGTGAAAAATCACTCCCCAGGGAGATGGTCACACCACAATCCCTTCTCCTCCATTCTCTTCTTGGGATCTCTGGTACACATGCACATGTGCCTGGAGTGAGTTTCTAGCTACCAGGTCCGGACTTGAACTGTGGTTGACCACGTGGGAGCCCAGTGACATAACCATTATGCCACCTACTGCTCCCTCTTTCTTATTCTACTTTAAGAAAACACCAAAAAATCTAAAAGCAAGCCATGATCAATGGCAACTGATGCTTGATCAGGAGCCGGTAAGGAGTGAGGGGGTTGGTACCCGGAGAGCTCTAGCTATGTTGCTCCAGCCCTACTGCTGGGGTAGCTGCTGCTCGGCTCCCACCAACTGTAGTTTCGTGAGTGCTCGGTCAAGTTGCCAGACTTGGGTTTTTTCAAGACAGGCCACAAATCTGGATTTATGTGTGAAACATCCTGACTTAAATCTTGACCACTGATTAAGAACATTTAAAAAGGGCTGCCTCAGCCAAAACATATAAATAAGACAGCCGCAGGCCAGATTCAGTCCACAGCCATCACTTTTAAACTTCTGCACGAAAGACAACGGGTGAAACAAGGTTTTCCTCAACCTTCCTCAATCCTCTTAACACTTCTGAGCCAAAAAACCCAGCTTTTTCTCCCCCACATGGAGGTCTAGTTGGGGTTCTTTCTTCAGCCTTGCCTCAGCAAAGGGGGCTGCTAGGGTCCAGGGCAGCAGAGAGCAAGGTGTCAGCAGACGAAGCTGGTCAGGCTTAAGACTGCCCTCACCCCCCAGGTCCAGCTCTTGCCACTTCTCTGGAGGCTGCCCAGAGGTTCAGCCCCAGAGCACATCTTGAGCCTTGGGCAATGTCAAGATCTTTACTCTCTACCTTGTCCATTACAAGGCCATCACCCACACTCCTGGAATATTTCTGGATAGTGCTGGAAACCCACTGGTGGGTCCAGGTCCCCTTGGCCAGGGGTCAGGGACACAGACAATCCTCTGGCACCCCAGCCTCTGCGCCCTTCAGCCCCTGGCCGATGAACCCATTGGTGCTTGGCCATGGCTGACTTCTGGCCAAAGCACCTGCCACACTGAGGGCATGGGTAAGGGCGCTCGCCGCTGTGGGTACGCCTGTGGGCTGCCATTTCAGAGCTCTGCCGGAAGCAGCGACCACAGTCTGGGCACGGGTAGGGCTTCTCGCCTGTATGGGTACGCACATGGCGCCGGAGATCCGAGGCGTGGGCAAAGGCACGGCCACAGTCGGGGCAGGGGTAGGGGGTCTCGCCACTGTGCACCCGCTGGTGCTGGTAGAGGGCAGAGCTCTGGCTAAAGCAGCGGCCGCAGTCAGCACAGCGGAAGGGCTTCTCGCCTGTGTGGACCCGGATGTGTGTGGTGAGGGCAGAGCGCTGGGTAAAGGCGCGGCCACAGTCAGGGCAGCGGTGGGGCCGCTCCCCACGGTGGATGGCCCGGTGCTTGCTCAGGGAGGAAGCCTGGCCGAAGCCCTTGCCACAGTCAGGACAACGAAAGGGCTTCTCACCCGTGTGGGTGTACAGGTGCTCCACCAGCGTGGAGCGCCAGGCAAAACTCTTCCCGCACAGGTAGCAGCCATGACGCTGGTCTGCTCGTGGGACAGGTGGGTGGGCACAAACTGGGGGGCGACCCCGGCGAGGTGCCTTGGACGGTTGTTCCAAACCGTAATGGAGGCCAGCAGAAAAGAGCTGGGGAGCCCTCAGCCCAGGAGCATCCATGGAAAGAGTCTTCTCCAGGGCTTCAGTCCCTTCCCTTTGTCTTTCCGCTTCCTTGTTTCTGGAGCCTGCTGGGAAGATAAAGGCAGAGTTTAGACTCTGGCTCATCCTGGTCCTGGAATCCACACCTCACATGGTAACAGAGAAGCCTCTTAGATATCGCCCCAGGGCCTCAGCAAGTTACAGGCAGGAGAACTAAGAGTGACACTTGTTCCTCAGCTGCAGAAGGGATGGGGGGTGTTGACATCAATCATGAAGGGTAAGTGGACACTTTAGGGTGTCCCAGGCAGCAAGAGCAGCACAAAGAAAGGCAGGAAGATGGCTCGCACTGGTAAATTCAGTGGGACTGTGTGGGAGGCTGGGCACCAGCAAGTCTGCTGAGGCCATTTTCATGAGTCTCTTACTATTGCCATCTTAGGCTCAGAGAGCAAACAATTACATAATGACAAAGGTCATGATTGGCTCCCCTTCAAAACCTCACCTTCAAAACCATATTCTGATTGGCCACTTCCCATGGCACTCACTGACTGGTGAGCTTAGAATCCCTCAGATTTGCATATCCGGCACCTCATGAATAGTCCACAAAAGCAACAATCATAACCCACCTTTTACAATCCTTCATTTAACCAATCACCACCCACCAACATGTACATAACCACGATCCTTGGCCCACAATAAACGGAGAACCCTGAAGAGTTGTAACACTGCATCGTCTCTGAGCTGCTCGTCCAGTCTCTCACTCCTTCCCTTAGGAAACCTGTTAGACTGTCCTGCGGGTTGCACAGCGCTGGGCACTTGGTAAAGATTGACAGGTAGAGTTGAGGGGGAAAAAATAGTAAAAGCCAAGAGAAAGTAAACAAACATAGGACACGGCTGAGAAATTTGAGTGCAGGAAACAGGGTCTCAACAAGGGGCTTAGTGGCGAGTGGAATAAGCAAGTGGGAGATGCAAGAGCTCCCAGGGGAGAGGCAGGTATGCCTGTCACAGCAATGCAGGGAAGAAACTCACAGAGGGTCTCAGTATGAGGCAGACAGAGAAATCTCGAGAACAGAACGAGCGCCCAATACTTCACCTGCGTTTGCTTCTGTCAGGCACTTTGCCCCCTCTAGATCCTGGGCTTCTGGACCCCACAGTTCTGCCTCTTCCTCCACCCAGGAGATGAGCTTCGGCTTGGTGCCTCCGACCCCTGGGGGACAAGAACACAAACACCATATTGCTGGGAGGCCGCCCCCACGGCCCGACCGCCCACATCTAGGGACGCCCACTCCACGTGCTGGACCCAGAGCAGGAGAGGAGGTAGGGCTCTCACCGAGCGCGACTAGGTGACTGTAGGTCTCCCGCATGACGTCCCGATACAGGGCCCTCTGCACCGGCCGCAGGCACCCCCACTCCTCCGGGGAGAAGTACACGGCCACGTCCGCGAACCTCACGGCCCCGGGCTGCCTCCACTCGGGCCAGGCCCGATTTAGTTCCCGGGCCGGGAATCCGGCCAGAGGTGGCGCCATGAGAACTAGCAGCCCGGACCACCAGCTAGCCGCCTGGCCTTGCCCGGTCAGGGTCCGCAGAGCCGCCCACGCTCAAGAACGCCTCCCCCTCCCAGGCTGTGGGCCGGAGGGTGGTCATTAGGACCGAGGGGGCGCAGGAACTGCCTCTGCAGGTCCACCGGACTGGAAGCCAACTCAGAGCTGATGGCTCCAGGCACATAATCAGAACTGGAAGGTGCCCTCATCAAAAATGGCGCCCTGCGGCCTCTCGAACTCTGTTCCCACGCAGAGGCGTCCACGATGACGCCACACTGGTGTCTCCGGGTGGCTTTGTCTTCGCGCCCTCACCCAAAATGGCCGCGGAGGCTACACGTGTCAGCCTGGACCCCAGCCGTGCCCCCACCCTCCTGGTCGGCAAAGCCTTCGAGAGGCGCAGGGGGCGTGGGCCACGCCCAGCTTTGCTGGAACAAAGCGAGTGGCCCTTTGTGAATTCCGACTGTCACAGTCAGGCCTCTCCTTCTGACAGCGTTACCTCAAGAACTGGGTGACAGAGACTTTTCCCAATGTTGAGGGTAAAAATAATGGAGTGGATAAAAGACAACCTTCTGGAGACCAGTAGATGGCTTAATGGTTACATCGCTGGACTCCTACGTAATTGACTGCGGTTCTAGTCCCAGACTCTCAAGCAGGGCTCGTGTGCATCGGTGCCCAGGATTCCCAGAGGAGAATGGAGAAGGGATCGCGGCATGACCATCTCCCTGGGAAGGGGGGTGATTTTTCACTTTCTGTTTCTCTGTCTCTCCAGGTAGTTCTGGAGACCAGTAGATGGCTTAATGGTTACATCGCTGGACTCCTACGTAATTGACTGCGGTTCTAGTCCCAGACTCTCAAGCAGGGCTCGTGTGCATCGGTGCCCAGGATTCCCAGAGGAGAATGGAGAAGGGATCGCGGCATGACCATCTCCCTGGGAAGGGGGGTGATTTTTCACTTTCTGTTTCTCTGTCTCTCCAGGTAGTGCATGTGAAAATCTCTCTCTCAAAAAAAAAAAAAAAAAAAGAAAACAAAAAACACGAGAGAGAGAGAGAGAGAGAGAGAACCTTCTCTGTTGGAAGCTTGTTCAAGCTTGGTGATTCGGAGTTTCTAGATGTTGGGGGCAGCTGAGCAGAGTAGTGTAAAGTCTGAAAACAGAAGGACCCTCATTTCCACAGGGTACCCTCCCTCTAACATGTTTTGAAGAACATCTCCCAAATATCTATTTATTTTTCTTTTTTCTTTCTTTCTTTTTTTTTTTTTTTTTGCAAAAGCAGTTAACACCTAAAAGAACCTTCTTTCCCCTCAGTCAGGTGTGTTGAGGCGGAACTGGTACTGCATGGCCAGAGCGGTGTGCACACCAGCTGGGGCTCCTCCTCCACTCTCCTGGGATCTTGGGCACACAGGCATATATATGCACCTGGTGTGATTTTCAAGTCACCTGTCCGGAACTGAAACCACGGTTGGCCATGTGGGAGTCCAGTGATACAACTGCTATACCATCTGTTGCCCCCTCATCCCAAATGGCTATTTGCCTCTAGCTGAAGCTTGGCTTTCAGATCCAGATTCCAGAACCACCTGCCTCCCTTCCCCTGCAGGGATATCCCAGGAGCACCTGCCACTCAGCACAGCTCAAACTGAATTCAAGCCTTTCTTTCCCCAACCTGCCTCCCCCTCTTTATCTCAACAATGTCACCAGTACTTGCCATTTTTACCCCAAAATATCATTCTCTCTCTCTTTTTTTTTTTTAGAGATGTTTTTGCTATAGGGTTCGTGTGCTCTCCAGAGTGGCAGAGATAGACAGACAGAAAGTGAGAAATCACCCCCTGGGGTGGGGGAGGGATGGCCACACACAATCCCTTCTCCTCCATTCTCCTCTTGGGATCTTGGGCACGCACGCACATGCACCTGGCATGATTTTTAAGTCACTGGGTCCAGGATTGGAACCACAGTCGACTATATGGGAGTCCAGCAATGTAATCATTACACCATCTACTGGTCCCTATTATTATTATTATTATTATTTTGGAGAGGTTTTTGCTATAGGGCACGTGCGCTCGCCAGAAAGACAGAGAGAGACAGAAAGACAGAAAACGAGAAATCACCCCAGAGGCGATGGCCACATCACAATCCCTTCTTATCCATTCTCCTCTCGGAATCTTGGGCACGCACGCACACATGCCTGGCATGAGTTTAAGCCACTGGGTCCGGAACTTGAACCGCGGTTGCCTACATGGGAGTCCAGTGACGTAGCCATTATGTCAACTGCTGGTTCCCATATTATTGGGGGTTTTTTTGGAGAGATTTTCGCTATAGGGCGCGTGTGCTCACCAGACAGACAGAGAGAGACATAGAGACAGAAAGCGAGAAATCACCCCCCGGGGGGGTGGTCACGCCAGTCGACTACGTGGGAGTCCAGCGACATAGCCATTACACTAACTGCTGGTTCCCCCCATATTATTGTTTTTAATATATTTGTTTCATGAGAGTGAGAGACAGAGAAAGATAAGCACCCTTGATGGGGTCTCACACTGAGATCCCCTCCCCCAGCCTTCCCAGCCAGTTACCAGACACTTAGGATCTTGGGCACAGCCAGCACGTACGGGTAGACCAGGGTGGGAACGCACAACCTTTCATAAGGAGTCAGCAGTGCCTGAGCAGCATTTTTTGTTTGTTTGTTTAAGAATTATTTTATTTAGTGACTAGCAGGTGGTGTGGCGGTTCAGGCGCTGGACTCTCCCACATGGCCGACCACAGTTCAAGTCCCTGACCTGGTGGCTTGCTTTCTCAATTTCTCTCTCTTCTCTCTCTCATCAAATTAAAATAAATGAATGAATAAATAAATTAATAATTTTAAAAGAATTATTTTAATTTTATTCATTGTTATTATTTTACTTTATTTTTTAAAAGTTTACCAGAGAGAGGGTAAATGAGAAAGCAAGATGCCAGATCCAGGACTTCAATCATGGTCAACCATGTAGGAGTCAAGGTGCCTTAACCACCATGCCACCTGCCAGCCCCTTGAGTAGCACTTTACCTCTATGGTATCTAGCTGGCCCCTCACATTTATTTAATGCCTACTCTGTGCCTCCCCATGCCTTGTAAACACTGTCTAGGAAGACTTGATACTGTTTGTCTGGTAGGCTAAATCAATCACAGCCTTTTAGATGCTTCGTGGAAAACACTTCACCTCTGCAGCAGGCATGGCAGCAAGCCTGGAGCTTTTGTCTGTTTGCTCCCTTTCGAAGGCCTCTCTGAAGCTTCAGCCTGACACCTTGCTGTAGTAGATGATTCCACACCCAGGGGAACTGGTCAAGAAAAGAGCTGATCACAGCAGGAGAGAAGACAGAAAGCTCAGGAGGGGTCAGCCTGGCCAAGGAGAAAGGTTAGTTGGAGAGTGGGCTGGAAAGGATAAGGATGCAGAGTTGCCCAGGAAGTGAGGAACCCAGCTCCAGCTCTCCTAACCTGTCGAGACCCTGAACACAAGAGGAAACTGAAAACTTCCCTTAAGAGCAATGGCATTTTGCCACCTGTCAGTGCCCATCTTTCAGCATGATACCCATCACCCACAGGCATGGGAGAGCTCTGGGTAATGCTGGAATCATTCTGGGCAGGGAAGGGACTCCAGGTTCTCTGCTCCAAGGAGGGTCTTCTGGGCCCCAATGACCAGATGTACCTTTGGAGGATGCTGTTCTCAGGCCTGAGAAAATGAAGGAGCTCTTAGAAAAGATGGCAGCATCCAGCTTCTCTACATCTCAGAGAGGTATTTATTTTTATTTGTTTATTTTAAGAGAGATTTTCGCTATAGGGTGCATGCGCTTGCCAGAGAGACAGAAAGCAAGAAATCACCCCCAGGGGGAATGTCCACGCCACAATCCCTCTTCCACTCTCCTCCCTAGATTTTAGGTACTTACACACATGCATCCAGTGTGAGTTTTAAGCCACCAGTTCTGGCACTTGAAACAGAGTCCAGCGACATAAGCATTACACCATCTGCTGGTCCTGTGTAAGGTATTTGTTAGCTGCTTGAATGTCGACCTGGTGTTGGTGTCCCGGTTTGTTTTACTGTTGCTCCTCAAGCGACCTCAGCAGCTCCTCTTGCCCATAGTTAAGATGGCCACAGCGCTAGAGCATGAGTGCAGGCAGAGGCAAGGCGTTCAGGAGAGCAGAGATGGCTAAGACTCAGAGGTTGCTGGCCTCATGTCCCTGTCCCAGCATCCACAAAGAGACCCACTCAGTGATCCAGTCTTTTAAAAAACTTTTTTTGACAAACCATTCATTTTCCTGTCAATTTTTATTTATAAGGTACCAAAAAATGTTGGATGATGTCTATTCCCACACTATCCCTCTGTTAATATCTTCTTAAACATCCCCAGACATATTCGAGCCTATCTGTGGTCTTTCCACACATTTATGAGCTCTTTACAATGGGCCAAATGCCTCTCAATGCTGTAGAGTTGAGAGTCACTTTACAGAAGAGAAAATGAAAGCTCTCTGTTAGTCAAGGTCAGACAGTCCATTAGTGAGTGATTCCAGGTCTTCAGAGTCCTAATTTCGATCCTTTCTACTACCTTGCACTGCCCCCTCCAGTCCTGTTCCAGAAAAGCAACTGAACATTTTAAATGTACTGACCTCTACTGCCTGTGTGAGGACCAACTGAATTTTTCATTAAGTTATGACTGCATATATATATATATTATATACATTCCTTACTGGGCAACAGTGGGCACTAGCCTTGCTGGGGATCGCAGAATCCTGCCTAGATTCCCCCAGCCAGGCTACAGTCTAAGTCCCCACCCATATTTTTGGCCCAGATCTGACTTTTCAGAGGAAGTAGTAAATGTCTGGGCTCTATATCAGTTGCCACCCTTGCTACTGTATAGAAGCGAAACTTGAGAGCACCATTTTTTTTTTTGGAGAGATTTTCACTATAGGGCGTGTGCGCTCGCCAGACAGACAGAGAGAGACATAGAGACAGAAAGCGAGAAATCACCCCCCAGGGGGGATGGTCACGCCGCAATCCCTTCTCCTCCATTCTCCTCTCGGGATCTTGGGCACGCACGCACACGTGCCCGGCGTGAGTTCTAAGCCACCGGGTCCGGGACGCGAACCGCGGTCGACTACGTGGGAGTCCAGCGACATAGCCATTACGCTAACTGCTGGTTCCCACCATTTTCGTATCTCTGGGCCTCAGTTTACTTATCTGCAAAACATGGCTATGATATCCATGCCCTAACTCCTTAGCAGGATTCTTTACGCTTGCTCAAATGTAAAATGTTGATAATGATAATAATTCACTCTTTCAACAAATGATTACTGTACCTTTACTGTGTCAGACAGATTATCTTGTTATAGTTCAGTCTTCACAGAAGCCCCTTGAGGTAGATATTATTAATTCTTGTTTTACAGATGAGGGAACTGAGGCTCAGAGAGGGCATGTAACTTACCAGCTGGGCCTTGGGACAACTTGCAGAGACTTGATTTGTTCCCTGGGCATCCATCCACTTCCCACCCACTCCATTTCCTGGGCTCCTTACAGATGACAGATCACCAGCACTTTGACCATGGCCTTCTTCTGGTCCCCTGGCAGGTCCTAGTCCTCCCAGCATTTGCTTCTCAAGTAGATAAACACCGGGTAGATGTTTTCCAGATGATGGGATGATTTCAGTTGAACCTGCTACTGAAATAACGCTTTTTGAAAAGTCTACAACTGATCCTTTTTTAAAAAACAAAAAACTGGTAGAAGGGCGTCAAGTTTAACCTACAGGCACTTTTCTTTTTACAAGTCTAGAAACTTGATGAATTTCAGTTCCCTAGTCCCTGCGTGGAGGCTGTTAGTCCTTAGTGCCAAGGTCAGGCTCTAACCCAGCCTGTGGGAACCGCTCACCCACACTCTTCAAAGATGTCCGGATAGTGCCGGAAGAGCACAGGTGGGTCCCGGTCACCTCGCACGGGGGCCCGAGGCACAGCCCGGATGCCAGGCCTTCGGCCCCTTCGCCCCCCAGAGCAGGAGCGGTGAATCCACTGATGCGCCTCCACAGCAAACTTCCTCTTGAAGCGCATGCCACACTCGGGGCAGGGGAAAGGCCGCTCGCCCGAGTGCATGCGCCTGTGGCTGACCAGCAGCGAGGGGTAGGTGAAGCGGCGGCCGCAGTCTGTACATACGTGGCGCCGTTGGTTGGCTTGAGCGTCCATAGTAGACGCCGAGACAGGGGGCTGCGCACCTGTAATCTGGTCCCAGGCTCCTTTTGTGGGTGGCTGTGCTCTTGCCGAGGGCATACTGGTAGCTGGGTCAGGGTTATGTCTGGCCAGCTCTTCAGGCTGCTCACTTCCCAAAGACTTTTGGGGTCCTTTGGGTCCTGGCACTTCTTCAGATTCTTCTTCCTTCTCTCTTGGTGCATCTCCTGAGAAGCAGGAATTACGTTACGTTTAAAAACACTTTTGCAGTAGTTAAGGTACTGGGCTCCCACGTGGCCAACTAAGGTTTGAGTCCTGGACCTGACTGCTTGCTTTCTCACTTTCCCTCTCTCTTCCTTTCCCTGGTCAAAATTTAAAATAATAATAATAATAAATAATAAAATAAGTCCTTTTTTAAAGAATTTTTTTACTTAACTTCATTTATCTTTTAAAATTTGATCAGAGAGAGAGAGAGAGTGAGCGGGAGAGAGAGAGATGGAAAGTGAGAGAGCAAGCCGCAAGGCCTGGGACTCGAACCAAGGTCAACCATGTGGGGAGTCCAGCGCCCTTAACCACCACACTACCTGCTGGCCCCTAAAATAAATAACTCTTTAATAAAACTTTTGCATAGACTGTCTCAGGTTACAGGGGGCTTTTACTTATAGTAGTGCCAGAAAAGCACTGCCCAGTGATTAAAACGCAGGCTTTGGGGACATGTAAGCAGAGTTCAAGTGTCTTAAGACTAGCTTATCTGGGCCATGGTATCTTGTACATCAAATAATAATAACAAAAAAGCAGTCAGACTTCTGTCCTCAGTTTCTTGACTTGTTGGATGAGATGAGTAGACACATGGTAAGCATTTAGTAATTGCTCTATAGGAAATAGATATTATTAATATAGTTTCTCAATTTTGTTGTAAGGTACGACTGTTTTGCACATGAGGAAACATATTTGCTTGAGACCATTCTGCTGGAGGATGGTGAGGGGAAAAGTCAGGTTGTCAATTACTGGGCATGCTTTCTTGTACTACTTTGACTTGCTTGAGAAATGTAGAAGGCAGACCTGATGCTATTTCCATTCTTACAGGTTTTTACCAGGGGACTTCAAGAAGTTTGTGGAAAATGGAATTAAAGTACAAATTTATTTTGATGCAAAAAAATAAAAATTCATGCATAATTTTTTCATAACATGAATTTTTTTCCATGAACTTTTGAAGACTCCTCCTACCCCCCTCCCCCCAGAAAGTGTTCCTGAAAGAGGAAGAATCAGTGGTGTTTTCTACAGGAGGGACCAGGAAACCTATGAGTCTTGGATTTGGGCTCCTGATTCTTCTAATCTGGTTTCAACACTGCTACTGTCCCAAGTTAACCGGGTCTGCCTTCTTTTGTCTTCTAGTATCCAACAGAGTTTGGCTCTTTAATTTCTTTAAAGATGCTGGAAATGGGGCCCCTAAAGGAAGCCCTGGAAAACCAAGTGGGGCGAGATCTGGGACAATCCCTCACCTCTTGGAGCTCCTCCCTGGCTTTCCCCCTTCTCAGGATCCTGGGCGGCGGGGCTCCAAGCCTCACTCTCCTGTTCCATCCAAGAGATGAGGGCTGGTTTGGGGCCCGGGAATCCTGGGAGAGAACAGGGATCACAGTGCCGGCCTGAGAGGCTATCCTGGGAAGACAGCATCCCCCTGCTAGGGTAAAGGCAACTCCTCCGAACTTTTACTCAGCCTGGAGAGGGTCTGCAATGCTCCCGCCTGAATGAAGCAAATGTAGGACGGGAAGACTCCCTAGGGGATACCTGAAGCCTTGGGAATGGGGAGTGGCCGGTGCTGCTAGTGGAGCAGGGCAGGTTTAGGGTCATAATCCTTTCCGTCCTTCTAAATCCTCTACCCTGTGAACCCAGGTGAGGGAGGAGCGGGGCTCTGACCGCGGGCCTCACCGAGCGCGCCCAGGTGGCCGTAGGTCTCCCGCATCACGTCCCGGTACAGGGCCCTCTGCGCGGGCCGCAGACACCCCCACTCCTCCGGGGAGAAGTACACGGCCACGTCCGCGAACCTCAGGGCCCCGGCCTTCCTGAAACCAGGCAGGGTCTCCCCAGGTCTTAGCGCCAGGAGCGAGGCTGGGGGCGGCGCCATGGAGGCTCCCAACCCGGGTAGCGGCCGCCTTGTTCCCGGGGCCACCGCTTCCCGGCTCCTGGCCTCAGCTTTCGTCGTCCACGGGAAGGGCTGCCCAGGCCCGGGCTCCGCCCAGCCTTGGCGTCCGAATGCAGCCGAGGGAACCGAAGTAGCGAGGACTAGCTGCTGGGGTTTCGGGGATTCTGATGGGGACGAATAAAACCCCTTGGTGTTTATTCACTTCATGGCCGCTTGGACATAGACACCCGCTTAGAGGACCCGGAAGATGCCTTCAGAAAACATGGCGGCAACTTGGCTTCAATTGTCACTGACTACTGTTAAAAGCGTCATTCTCAGAGCACATCAAATATGGCGTCTCCTGACTTCTCAGGCCTCGCCGACTCACTTGCCCTCAAACACAATGGCTGCCTCAGGCGCCCTTTTTTGTTGTTTTAGGCGGAGGAGCGGGGAGCCGGCTGGGAAGTCGAGGAGCGCCTTCTAGCCTTCAGGAAAGAGCACGCGCCCGAAGCTTCAAATCCCTTTCTTTGCCCTCAACATACGGCGGCTGATGATTGGTCGGAAGCGCAGGAAGAAGCTGCGCCGTGATTGGCCCCGGGCTGGCGGGCGCTTTGAAAGGTCCCTCGGCCTCAAAGGTTCTGTGTACCTACCGGAAAGCAGGGTTCCGGCATCTGTGGTGCCCGGAATTGTGTCCCCAACGTCTCCTCACCGTGCCTCCCGACGGCGGGGTCTGGAATCTGGTCCCAAGACCCCTTCCCTGCGGGAAGACGAACACACCCTGACAGACCCTGGACACAGCAGAGGTACGAACCAGGTGCAGTTTACAGTTAGGACGACCACTTAGGAGCCCACTCGACCCCTTGCGGCCGCAGCTCCTCCAGCTCAGTCTCTGGAGCCGCAGACAAAGTAACGTGATTAGTGAGGATGGAATAGGAACGGGAAAATTTTAAGTTACATTGTAGTTTGGGCAAAACGAGTTAATGTACATACTTTTTTGTTGTTTATCTTTTTTTTTTTTCCATAGAGAGAGAAAGATACAGAGAGAGGGAAAGTTAGAACATCCCACCCCCCTCCCCCCAGGGAGATAGCATGCAGCAGTCTTTTCTCTATTCTCCTCTCAGGATTTTGGGCACACACGTACTTGTGCCTGGTATGTTTCAAGCCACCAGTCCAGGACATGAAATGTGGTTGACTATGTGGGAATCCAGCTGCCTTAACCACCACACCACCTGCTGGTCCCAATCTACAGTTTTTATTTTTTATTTATTTTTTTTTTTGGAGAGGTTTTTGCTATAGGGCATGTGTCTTGCCAGAAAGGCAGAAAGAGACAGAGAGACAGAAAGCGAGAAATCACCCCCCCAGGGTGGATGGCTACACCACAATCCCTTTTCCTCCATTCTCCTCTCGGGATCTTGAGCACACATACACATATGCCCCGGGTGAGTTTAAACCACCGGGTCCAGGACTTGAACCATGGTTAACTACATGGGAGCCCAGCGACATAGCCATTATGCCATCTGCTGGTCCCTCAATGTACAGTTTTTAAAAAGAAATACACAGTGGGGCCAGCAGGTGGCATAGTGGTTAAGGCACTGGACTCCCACATAGTCTACCATAGTTCAAGACTCAGACCCAGTTTGAAACTCACCAGGCACATGTACATGCATGCCCGAAATGCCTAGAGGAGAATGGAAGAGAAGGGATTGTGGTGTGGCCATCCCCCTGGGGGTGATTTCTTGCTTTCTGTCTCTCTGTCTCTCTGGCGAGCGCATCTGCCCTATAGCAAAAACCTCTAAAAACAAACAAACAAAAAAATGCAACACTTGTATTGAAAAGGGCAGTTGGCTATACTCTACCCCTGTTCCTTAGAGCTAACTACTTTGATCTCTCTTCCCCTCTCTCTCTCTCTTTTTAAAATGATCTTTGCCATAGGGCACCTACATTGACCGGAGACAGAGAGGGAAGGAAACCACTACCCCCCCCAGGGGGGATGGACACACCATAGTACCTTTTCCTTCATTCTCCTCTTGGGATTTTGGGCATGCACACACAAGCGCTGAAGTGAAATATAATGGTATCTGCAACTTACTTTGAAATACATAATAGAAAGTAAGATAGGGACCAATACTTTCCCTCTCACTGTATCTCTGTCTCTCTCTGTCCTTTCAGCAAGTGCACATGCCCTATAGTAAAAATCTCTCATAAAAACAAAAGAAAGATAAATGGATGATGGCATGGACAGATGGACTGACATGTAAAGAAAACAGCAAAATGTCAATTATATGGTCTAGGTGATGGGCATATGAATGTTTATTATAAAATTCTCTCAACTCTTGAATGTTTCAAACACTTTTTTTCTTTTTTTTTTAGGAGAGGTTTTTGCTATAGGGCACATGCGCTCGCCAGAAAGAACAGAGAGAGACAGAGAAACAGAAAGCGAGAAATAAGCCCCCAGCGGGGATGGCCACATCGCAATCTCTTCTCCTCCATTCTCCTCTCAGGATCTTGGACACACACACACACCTGCCTGGCGTGAGTTTAAGCAACTGGGTCTGGGACTCGAACCACAGTTGACTACGTGGGAGTTCAGTGACATAGCCATTACGCCAACTGCTATTTCCCCTTAAGAGAGATTTTTGCTATAGGGCACATGCACTCACCAGAGAGACAGAGACACAAAAAGCAAGAAATCACTCCCCAGGAGAATGGCCACACTGTCCCGACCCGGGGGGACAGCCGAACGGGTTTCCTGAGTGAAGGAGTGAGAGCCGGGGCAAGCAGCGTAGTGTTACAGCATGGGGACGACAGTGTCGTCTGTTTATTGTGGGCAGCACGGTACAGCACAGAGACGACGCAGTGTCACAGCTCTTAAGGGTCGCGTCGTCTACTGTGAGCAGCACAGAGACGACGCGGTATCACAGCTCTTCAGGGACAGCTCTTCAGGGTCGTCCGGAGACGATGTAGTGTTACAACTCTTCAGGGTCTCCCAGGTCGTCTGGAGACGATGCAGTGTCAGCTCTTCAGGATCTTCAGGGTCCTCTGGAGACTGCGGGGTGTTTCAGCTCTTCAGGCTCTTCAGTTGTCATCTTCCTGGTCGTCGTCATCTTCTGGCTACTGTGGGCCAGGCATTGTGGTTATATACACTCTGGTGGGTTGTAAACGGTGGGCCCTGATTGGTTGTTAACGGTGGGTTATGATTGGTTGCTTTTGGACCAATCATGAGGTGCCGGATATGCAAATTTGAGGGATTCTAGTGGTCAATCAGAGCAAGGTTTCGAAGGTCAGGTTTTTGGAAGGGAACCAATCATGGTAATTGTTTGCTCTCTGAGAAACCTCGGCAGACTCGCTGGTGCGCAGCTTCCCACACCACACCACAGTCCCTTCTCCCCTGTTCTCTTCTCGGGATTTTGGGCATGCACACACACATGCCCAGCGTGAGTTTTAAGCTGCTGGATCTGGGACTCAAAGCATGGTCGACTATGTAGGAGCCCAGCAATGTAACCATTACACCATCTGCTGGTCCCAAATGTTTCAAAATTTGTATAATAAAATGTTGGTAGCTTGGGACCAGCAGTTGGCATAACGGCTACATCACTGGACTCCCATGTAGTCGCCTGCGTATCAAGTCCCGGACCCGATGGCTTCAACTCACACTGGGCGCATGTGCATACGTGCTCAATATCACTAGAGGAGAATGGAGAAGGGATTGCGGCATGGCCATCACCCCTAGGGGGGTGATTTCTCACTTTCTGTCTCTTTGTCTCCCTATCTTTCTGGCAAGCACACGCACCCTATAGCAAAATCTCTCAAAAAAAAAAAAAAGAAAGTTGGTGGCGAGGAGCTCAGCCATTTGTTCTGCAAACTAAAGAAACATGCTAGGTGTCTTTTATATCAGAACTGAAGTTGCCATTAGCCCCATTTGACAAGTGAAACACCTAAGATTCAGAAATATGTCTGAAAAAAAGGTTCGATACATAGTCTTCGAGTCACAGAGCCAGTGGGAACTGAGCTTAGCCCAGAATCCAGGTCTTACCAATACAGGAGAGGCTATGGGGCCATGTGAAATAACACCCAGTTCCCATTAATAATCATCTTTCAAACTACAGTTCAGAAAAGCAGTTTTTTTGTTTTGTTTTTTAGGTTTTTGCCATAGGGCACATGCATGAGACAGAGAGGGAAAATGTGAACTCACCATACAGGAGATGGCCACTCTGCAATCGTTTCTTCATTCTCCTCAGGATTTTGGACATACACATATACATGCCTGATGTAATTTTCAAGCCACCTAGTCTGGGGCTTGAACCGCAGAGTTGGCCTTGTGGGATTCAGTACCTTAACACACCACATCACCTGCTGGCCCACATCCCTACATCTTTGCATAACGTGCCAATGTGCTTATTCCCATCCACTTCTTTCTTTGTTTATTCCTTCAGCAGTTTCCTTTCCAAAATTAGAGCTAGCAGATCTAAATGGGTCAGAGAGACCTTTCTGAACTGTTGACATACAAAGCATTCCAGTAAAAATTAGATTGATGAGATTATGCTTTGAATTTAACTCCAAACATAAGTAATTTACTTTTTGTTTGTTTGTTCATTTTAGGTTTCTGCCATAATGCACTTGTCAGAGAGAGAGAGGAGAAGTGAGAAATCACTCCTCTGGAGGAATGGCCATGCTGAAATCCCATCTCCTCCATTCTCCTCCTGGGATTTTAGGCATGCACACATGTAACTGGCATGATTGTCAAGCCTCCAAGTCCAGGACTCAAGCTACAGGTGACTGAGAGTCCAGTGCCTTAACCACCATGCCACTTGCTGGCCTCATAAGTAATTTACTCTTTCTTTTTTTAAAAAAACTAATTATTTATTTTATTTATTTATTCATTTATTTCTTAATTTGACCAGAGAGAGACAGAGGGTGAGAGTGAGAGAGAAAGGAAATGAGAAAGCAAGCCACCAGATTCAGGACTCGAACCCTGGTTGGCCATGTGGGAGTGTCCAGCGCCTTAACCACCACGCCACCTGCTGGTCCCAGTAATTTACTCTTTCTAAGTCCCTGTGTTATATTTCCAGTTGCTGTGGCCCAACAATACATCTTTTTTTAAATTTTTTTAAGAGATTTTGCTATAGGGTGCATATGCTTATGCAGAGAGACAAAAGAGAGATGGGACTCAAGTCACAATAGGCCATGTGGGAGTCTAGTGATGTTACCATCATGCCATCTGCTGGTCCTGGCAAATACTTTTAAAAGGTGGAAATAACTCAAGTATCTATTATGAAATAATACCCGCTGTCAGGTCTGTAAGTTGAAATTTATCTTTTTTGGTGGGGGTGGGGTTTGCTATAGGGTGTGTGCCCTCACCAGAAAGACAGAGAGAAATGGAAATTGACAGGGGTTGGCCACACCGCAATCCCTTATTCATTCTCTTGGGCTCTTGGGCACACACACGCACATGCACCTGGCGTGAGTTTAAGCCACTGGGTCTGAGACTCAAACCGTGGTCGACTACATTGGGAGTCCAGCAACATAGCTATTATGCCAACTGCTGGTCCTGGAAGTTGAGGTTATTCTACTTACAAGTTAATAAATATATTAGTCTGTTACTGTTTCATGGATGCTGGGAGAAAACAAGAGATTTCTAGGTCAGGGATAGAAGACTGTTGTTTGTGGCAGAAGCAGCATGAGCATGTATGCATGGTTCCTTTTGCTTCCTAAACTTCACAAAAGCAACATGGAGGACCCCAGATGGATGCTAGGCACACGAAGCATTGCATTTTAGGGGAGAAACAATGAACTTAGGGAA